CCGTAGCGGTATCTTCAGCGCAGCAGGTACGTGTAACCCAACCTTGTCTCTCTCTCTCTCTCTCTCTCTCTCTCTCTCTCTCTCTCTCTCTCTCTCTCTCTCTTTGTCTCGGTCTTCTTCTTCGTCGTGTCTTTCTTGCAGGTGCGCGGCGGCTTCCTCAACCTCAGGTCCGCTATGGCGGACTATCTCCCTCGGCTGCCACCTCGGCTATGGCGCATCAGGCCCTGCATACGATGGCGCGCATGGAATAGCGGGTACCAGCTCCGATACCAATGCAATCAGACTCGTTCCCAAACACACTTTTCATGCATGTAAACAGCAACGCAGCATATTGGCGACATGCGCCCACTCAAAACTCAGAGATATGGCTTTCAGATACGAGTTCACTCTCAATTGGCTATGGCGACTTCAGCGCCCAAACATCTCACTGTTCACATACACTKGATCACCCTGGATATCCCACACGCATCACTCTAACACTCAAGAAAACACACACTCACTACTAACTACAACTATGGCAGCTATGGCTGCCTCTAACCTATCGCTATGCTAACTCCTCTCTTGCCCACTACGTCCTCCGGGCTCATCTGCAGACCTCCTTGCACAAGTCGYTGTGGCAGCGCTTCCGCATGGCTCACGCAGGAATGAATGAATGGTTGGGCGCTGCCTCTTGATTTATACTTCAGAAACTCGTTGGTCTGCCCTTTGCCATCGGCCCTTGGTGCTTACAATCCCCCTGTGGTACTCGCTGGACCGGACTAGGACTGACTGGACCTTCCGTTGACTGACTGTGGACTCTCCGCTATCCTACCGCCGTTGCACTGCTGTTGCACTGCGGTTTAGTCCACCACTTGCCTCACCACTTGACCACTTGCCCACTTGCCTACCTTCTAGAAGGTCTACAGCTAAGCTTCCAGAACTCACTAAGACTCCTACGCTATAGACCTACAGATCGAACCCCTGCTGTCTATGGACCTACGACAAGTCTACCAACTGCCTACGAATACACAAGTCACAGGTTCAATTCTCGGGGTCTACACAGATACTGAACATGGGTAGGGTGAGGTCTAGGGATCGAACCCTGGGTACTGCATCCGCTACTGCTAAAAGGTGAAAACCGTTTCACGCGTAAACCTTTATAGTATTAGAAAAGTCGCTTGGGATCTGACCTGTCACCGCAGATCAGAGGGCGGGCTGGGGCTGCTAGACCCAACCAGCCAAAATGCCTCTCTCCTGGTCAAATGGATTATAAGAGTTATTGAGGGCACCTCGGAAGATCATTGGAACTGTTTGGCCGAGCTTGGGAGCGGAACCTGTCCAGACCCAAGGATGTCTGGACTTGTGTGATGATGAACTCGTAATTACGCAGGCATACCTCGTCTCCCTTTTGGTCAGATATACTGAGGGCTTGGAAGAAAGTTGGGCCGCATCAGTGGACCCCACCAACTACAAAAGAAGAAGTCATGTTGCAGCCGATTTTTGACAACCCGCTTATTCAGGACAATGAGGGACTTACCTTTTCCGCAGGAAGTGGCCCATATGCATTTGGTAGACAATGGACAGGGAAGGGAGTAATGAGAGTGTCAGATCTCTGCGAAGAGTTCACAGGCCAATGGGTAACAATGGACAACCTCAAAGTAAAACTAGGCCGGCTGGGCCAAGTGGAAGAGAGAGCGGTCCTCTTGAAGACCACTCTCCCCCCGGAGTGGACGCACCTGCTGAGCCCGGCATGCGTTCCACCACCGGGGACATGGTTCACTGTACAGGAACAATACGATCAGACACACCCATCGAAATCATATTGGAAGCTGATCTCGATTAATATAGATGGGTCCAGAATTTCCAACAGTGGACCAAGATGGCATTGTTATGATCCTGGCCAATTTTGAGATACACATCCATCAAGTAGTACGATGCCGTCCAATTACAGAAAGAAATGAATGAACTTGAAAGGAGAGAGAGGATTAGAAGAAGAAGAAGAAGAAGTAAGAAAGAAGAAGAGGATGATGTACACCAGCATAGACAAATGACAAGGCTCTTCTTCTTCGCCCAACAATCTCCTCCTCCTTATCTCCCCCTTCTCTTATTCATACAAGAAATAATAATACAATGTTGAATAGCTGATCCAGAATC